CGTTCTTAGTAGATCATGTAATGTTGCATAGGAGGTGATGCAGAATGTATAAACCTTTATTTGCATTAATATAATTTACTATTAAATCTGCATAGGCCCAATGGCATCCTATTCATAATGAACTCACAATTTATGTCTTTGTTAATGTTTTTAATCAGGCAGAAATATTGGTGAGATGGATTCTTTAAACTTTATCTAAATATGGACTGTAGGCCAAAATTCTAACAACTCTTGCTACTACATTCTTGGCATTTCCCCTAAGCTCACTTATGCGGGCTAAAAGAAACCTTATATGTATTAACTTACTCATATTTCCTATAGTTAAACAGATTAAAACAGACCTTTGTTGGATACAATTCTGTTTAATTTTTTCCCTACCTTCTTTAGCTTGAAGAAATACTAGAGGCATATGCTAATAACCTTGCTATGGCTCGTGCTCAATTAAATTTGGAGCCAGGTAACCAAGCAAAGAAAACTTCAAAACCTTTTAATCCTTCCGAAATGGAGACCGGTATTCCGAGCTTAAGACCTTACAATCCTCCAGATTTGAGCCGTCAATGTGGAACTATCAACAGCACTCCGATTAGTACAGATGATGGTCTCACCCACTTTAGTTATGGGCCTGAACAACATAGAGACTCCAGTCCTCTCATTTCCTCTCGCCTGAGAGGAAATTTTGAGTCAAGCTCGGCAAAAAGTCGCCTTAGACTACGTGACACCAGAGCACTTGCATTGGCCAGTCAAGATTCTCGGAAGTGGGTTCCCCAGACCGCAAGTGGTAAACAAAGGCGCCGTAAAGGTCCATGCCCCCTCAATTCTGAAAGGAATCGTAGCAGATCTCCTTCTATGTCCACTAGGGGCACTGGTAGCCCGGCCTTCAAGGGCAACAGATGTCTCTCTTACAGTATGCGACAGGCCGAGGGACGAGTGGTAGGGAGACAAGCCAATCCATCAGATTCGCTTCTTATTCGCACTGGAACTTGCCTACCTCGACATTCACGAACAGACTTACAACAGCGAGGCAGAGGTCTGCCCGTTTCTATATCAACAACATCTCTACTTGTCCGCAACGAAGAACAAACTAGAGGTAAGCAAGATGATGATCATGCTGACGATCTTGAAGGCGATGAAAAGAACAAAGAGGAAGCCCCAGAAGTTATATCTCGAGGTCGATCTGGCGAATTAAGGCAGCTACGCCGCGGAGTATCAGATTCACGGAGCCGGCGGACCTACACTGAGAAGCTTTTAGCCAAGTCAGCATCTGCTCGGTCAAGGAGTCGTCTGCATATGGCGATGAGACAAGTTGGCCTGGCAAACGCAAAACGTCAGGCTGAGAAACAAGTCCGCCAGTCAACTGTCCGACACTTTAAGTCTAACTCAGATGATGGTGGTGTTGTTGATGAATATGATCAAAATAGTGAGATTAAGCATAATCTTAGCAGGCCTAGAAAACGCCTTGATAGCAATGTGGAGCAGAATGATGACTCTAATGGTAAAATGGAGTTCGAAGAGGAAAAAAAATCCGAGCCTGATGGTAATTACAGAAACGGAGTTGATAGTAATAACTTTCAGCAGGACGATTTTTCCGACTTAGATGCGAAAAATAATGAAGGAGAAGATGCAGCCGAGAATGCTCTAGACGATGAGAAAGTCGATCGTGTTACTAGGGAATATCGGCATCGATCTGGGACGCCTCGAGGTATCTCTAAACATGGAAGATTTAGTCCTACGTATAGGTCGCAATCCCGCGGGCACAGACCAAGTTCAATTGCTTCTGGGAAGATTGAGCATCGCAGTTCGATACTCTCATCACGGAGTCGGAGCCACTCAATGAGCCAGTCAGATCAGCCAGAATATAAGAGTGATTTGCGAGTTGAAGAACTTGAGTCTCATCATCCCAGACGAGTCCTATGTGTATCCGGCCGCGGTGCCAAGGGTCGACGTAGCCTTTCATCTAGCAAGACGTCTCGCAGCCTCGGATCACGGCAATATCTCCCAGCCAGTAGTCCTCTGCATCGAGCCTCCCCGACTCGGTTATGCGAGACAGGCTCTTTGCGACGTCAACGTCGGTCTGGCCTGCTTGACAGGCATCGGCCACACCGTCACGCCCATAGTCAAGGCAGTGATCAGAGTCATGTCTTTTTGCGCAATAATGGTACTGATATAATCCCTTGTACAGAGTCGACAGGCGTAGTTTGCAGCGGAACGGGCCGGCGCGGTATGCGTCGACACGCTTATCTTACATCAAGAAGCGATCGAAAAGGTGATCGACGAGATGAGGGAGAAGAAGGTGAGGATGATGCCGAAGGAAAGGGGAATTTTGAAGCCAGGAAAGGATGCGGAACGCCTCGATTACAGACAGCTGGCAGGCTGTTTGTTGAGCGAGACTCTCGACGTATGGACGTCTTCGGCAGCTCGGTAAGTGAAGACGAAATTGAAGGTGATAGGGGAGGAGAAGAAGAGAATATGATTGGTAATGAGAAAACTATGCAAATATGCAGTCACCCTGGCAGTGAGGCCCCTCGGCGTTTCGCTTGTTCGCCTGGAGGTCCGCATCGTGGACGGCGAAGGGGCGCTGCATCATCATCTGGAGCACAAGTACTTTCTAATTCCGCCGGCGGTGGACTTGGCGCCCGCCGAAGCCGTAGTCGCGAATCAACGCCTGAAAGCAGTAATAGCAATGGTGACAGCGCAGACGAGCGACTTTATTGCATATGTAGGAAGGTATCATTTGGAGATATGATCGCATGTGACAACCCGCGCTGCAAAGTTGAATGGTTTCATTTCTCCTGCGTTGACGTTCGGGCTCAGCCCAAAGGAAAATGGTTTTGTCCACAGTGCCGCGGAGAAACACCACGTGTCAAGCGACCCGATGCATGAACTAATCTTTCTTCTTGGTTTGGTTGTAAATGAAATTTATGTGTTTATTTATTTTTTATGATCGTGATCTTCCTGGTTCTGACCTTAATTCATTTTTAATGTTTATAAAGTTTGTCCAAATTAATGTACATACCAAAAGATCTTTACATTTTAAACAATTTCTTTAATTTTAACTGTGAAGATTAGGTGTGAAAAACTAAGTCTTTCCTCCAATTTATTGGATGAGCATGTAAAAATATACAAAAGCCGTCTCGGGGCTAGTTCCAGTCCTTCGTTAGCATGCTTATGGTTGCGTTTCTCTCACCCAGCATCTGCCTGGCTTCCATAAGTCTTGATCTTGCCTTGTGATAAGCCTCTTGTACAATCATAAAAAATATAAATAAAGTATTTATTCAAGATTCTTAAGTCTGTGGAACGCGAATATCAAATCATATAGGTCAACGAACATTTTTACTTTATCATTATTTTTTCCGTCTAGCACTTAAAAAAATCATCTTATGCCAATTGGAAGCCTTTCGATGAAAGCATTGTTTCTGTTCTAAAAGTATCAGTACCTATTGTGCTGAAAAGGGTAGTGCGACTCATGATGTGACTGGACTATTTATCTATTTAACATGGATCATGGAATGAGCTTGGATCCGAAAGTAAATGTGTCAAGGCTTTTGAAGTGAGATATTCTCCCAAGGATGGAGTGTAGTTAAGACTTCATCTGGATATAACTAGTATCACCGTTGGGATTCCTATCCAAAAATGTGTTGTCTCGAGCCGTGCAATCCCAGCACCATTATTATGATTGGCTAAGCGATTAAATGTTTGCATATTCAAGGTCCATATTCAATACCTGCTCTCGTATGTAAATATAGCCTGTCAGGTGGCAACTCCAGTAGAGCTCGGGGTGAATAAATAAGTTCACTCAAGAGACGACCTATAATGCTCTGAGCTAGACAAAATTAAATAAAAACGCTTGCATTTCAAAGCTCTATTGCAATCATTACAAGTAACCCAAGTTTGTCGTGCTGCAGACAAACTATTATTTTTAGGATATGAAGAAAAACTGGGTTTCGAAGAATGCCCTGGTGATATGTTGTGACATGACTTTGTATTTCGAGAGAAAAGTTTGTTGGAATGAATTTGTGGATTGTCGCGGAATGAAGACTATTAGATTGTCGGTTCATCGTCCTGCGACACCAATGAATGTGTGATAAGCTTTTGTCTGTACTATGGCAGGCATCATCAGAGCTATAATCCATAATTTAGGAAATGGCGCAAAAAATATACTAGACAAAGAGAAGAGTAAGCTGGGTGCAACCCCAGCCACTCTGAAGAGGTCTGTGACAGTACAGACGAAAACTTAGCTCAGGTTCCTCGGGCTCACAGGACGATGAGCCGAATTCTTACAATCCAACAGTCTTCACTCCGCGGCAATGCTCTATCGGTTTTCGTTTATACCATTTCACAAATTCCTTCCAACTTTTATGACTAGGATCGTTTGATTTTGGACATAGGTTAGACTCGTTCAAATGGTCTTTACTACAAACATATGCCACTAGAACTTAACAAGCTATGCTAATTTAACCTGAGGTGGACAAGGTACCTATAGTTTATTCAATAACCTGGCCTTAGTCATGAATATCTTGAATAACAGCAAATGTAGATTATAATAGTTAATTAATTCACCGCTTAAAATCATCAATTTCACTTAAACGTATCATTAACCAAGAAATGTGCTTACTTATGACCGATATAATGTCCATTTGCTCAGATCTATAAAAAGAAAAAAGAGTTGGATGTTTAGTCTGCTACTTCTATTTTTTAACATAGTTCTTGAATATGTTTCGGTGAAATGCATGAACTTCATTGGAATTGGCATTTAATAAAGCAAATATGTTTCTAGCCAAATAAGGTTTGAAGACCCAGTTAGCAAGTTACATCATACACCCTAGGTCGCTCAAGATGACTGATAGTTGATTTCTCCCACAATTAAGTCAATAGCCCTCACGACGCAAATGAATTTTACTTACCCTTTCCTCCCAGAAG